AAGCACTTTGAAAAAGAGTTTGAAGCAGTTAAAGTGTTTTTAGATTTCAATACAAAGTTCAAATATGTAATATTGTAACAGAGGTTACCTTCTTTAATATTGGATATATCACAATGTAACATTCCATAATAATATTTGAAATAAAAAGTTTTGATAATTGTAAAAAAGAATTGTAAAATGCAGATAATTATAATTAACCATAAATGTTTACTGATCACCTATCATGTATAAGATGATATGCTCTACATGGGAAAGGGAACGTTCAGGGAAGATAATGAGAAATAAAAATGATTAAGTCACAGTCAAGTGCAAGGTGAGTTTTTTATTTTTATTTTTTGAGAAGAAGTCTTGCTCTGTTGCCTAGGCAGAAGTGCAATGGTGTCATCTTGGCTCACTGCAACCTCCACCTCCCGGGTTCAGGCAATTCTCCTGCCTCAGCCTCCCAGGTAGCTGGGACTACAGACACGTGCCACCACGCCCAACTAATTTTTGTATTTTTAGTAGAGATGGTGTTTTGACATGTTGGCCAGGCTGGTCTCAAAATCTTGACTTCAAATGATCCTCCCTCCTCAGTCTCCCAAAGTGCTGGGATTACAGGTGTGAGCCACCACACCTGACCAAGAGTTTTGGTTTTATCCAATAAGAAATGGGAACTATTCAGATGTTGATTTTTTTTAAACTAACGTATTGCATAATCAAATTTTAGAAAAATAATTTTCCTGAAGTGTATAGAATAGACTTAAAATATTATTTTAATAATGTAAATATAATTGAAATGAGTATGTTGAGAATTAAAACCCTGTTTAGTAAGATCCACCCCAAAATATATGTGCAAGGTTGGAATCTATCATTCTGTAACTAATGCCAAGAATCAACATCTTTGGAAAATACTTCAAAAAGAGTTTCAATGGACCTGGAGCAGTGATTGGCTTATGCCTGTAATTTCTGGGTGTGGTGATGCGTGCTTGTGGTCCCAGCTATTCAGGATGCTAAGGTGGGAAAATCTCTTGAGCCTGGGAGGTTAAGGCTGCAGTGAGCCAAGATCGCACCACTGCACTCCAGCCTGGGTGATAGAGTGAGACCCTATCTGAAAAAAACCCTAAACAACAACAACAAAAGAGTTTCAGGCCTGGTGAAGTGGCTCACACGTATAATCCCAGCGCTTTGGAAGGCCAGGGCAAGAGGTTCGCATGAGTTAAGTAATTCAGACTTAGACCTCATCTCTACTTTAAAAAAAAAAAAAATTAGCCAGTTGGAGTGGCAGGGACCTGTAGTCTCAGCTACTCATGAGGCTGAGGCAGGAGGACCCCTTGGGCCCAGGAGTCAAAGCTGCAGTGAGCTGTGGTTGTACCACTGCACTCCAGCCTGGGCGACACAGTGAGACCCTGTCTCAAACAAAAAAAGAGTTTTAGTTAACCAACGTTTTAGTTGACTAAAGTTTCAGTAAGGCAGGAGGAATAAATTTTGAGATCTGTTGCACAGCAGGGTGACTATAGTTAACAATAATGCACTGTATATCTTAGAATAACTAAGGGAATAAATTTCAAATATCTTACCACAAAAATGATACATGAGATGACAGTTATGTTAATTAACTTGATTTAATCACTCCACATTGTATACATATATCAAAATAGCACAACATACTCCATAAATATATACAATTATGATTGTCAATACAAGTAACATTAATAAAAATAAATTTTCAGAAAGCTTAAAAAAGAAACTAATACCTAATGGATGAAAATGATTGGTTTTAACCTGTTCCTGGTTGCCATTACTTGTTAATGCTGAGTAATAGTCTATTAGGCAAATACAGTCATCCGGCAGCACTCTCAGGGGCATTAGTTCCAGAAACAACCCTTCCATACCAAAATCAGTGGATGCTCAAGTCTCTTACATAAAATGGCATAGTGTTTCATCCTCCTATTCTTGTAAATTATCTCTAAATTTCTTATAATACCTAGTACAAAGTAAATGCTATATAAGTAGTTGTTATAGTGTGCTTTTTCTTTTAATTGCTGTAGCATTATTTTTTATATTCCCCTCCTGAGATTTTTGATCTTTAGTTTTTCAATCCACAGATGTGGAACCTGTGAGTATGGAGGGCTAACTGTACATCATAATTATATGCTGTCTTGTTGATATACTTTTGAGTTGTTCCAGCTTTTGCTTATTATAAGCAAAGCTGGCATAAGCATTTATGTTCAGCTTTTTTTTTGGTAGACATAGGTTTCCATTGTCTTGGATGGCTCCCTATAAATAAAAGTGTTGAGTCATACTTTAGGTGTAGGTTTATAATTATAAAAACTACGAAACCATTTTCCAGTGTAGTTTTATAATTTTGTACTCCTACCAATAATGTAGGAGAGTTCTGGTTTTTCTATATCCTTGTCAATATTTGGCGATGTTAGTCATTTTAATTTTAGTCATTTTTGTGGGCATGAAATGGTATCTCATTTTGGTTTTAATTTGTATATTTCTGCTGACTAATGATATAGAATACTTTTTCATATGTTTATTGTCCACTTACAAATTTTCCTTTGTCAAATGCCTTTTCCAGTCTTTTGACCATTAAACACAATTTTTTGTTTGTGTTTATTATTGAATTGGAGATGTTTTATATAATCTATGATTTGTATGTACCATTAATATTTTCAGCTATCAAAAGTATTCAGATATATGTATCATCTAAACTGTGGCTTGTCTATTCATTTTCTTAATGGTGACTTAGGATAAATGGAAACTTAATTTTGATGAAGTCTCTTTTTTTCTATTATGGTAAGTGTTTTCTGTATCTTAAGAAATCTTTGCCCACTGCAAGTTCAGAAAGCCATCTTTAAAAAAGATATATTTTAATAACTTTATATATTTTAGCTTTTATGTTGAGGTGTACAATTCGTCTTGAATAAATATTTATGTTTACAATGTAAGGTAAGGGATGAAGCTCATTTTTTCCTCATTGATGTTATATTACTTGGCATTGGCTTTTAAAAAATTGTTTTATTTTATTTTTAATTGAAATATTATATATAATATGGGGTATAAGGTGAATGTGATGTTTTGATACATGTATATACATTGTAGAATCATCAAATCAGACTCATTTTCTGTCATCTCAAATATTTGTCATTCTTTTTAGTGAGAACATTTGAAATCCTCTCTTTTAGTTATTTTGAAATAGGCAATATATTATTATTAAGTGTAGTTACTGTACTGTGCAATGGAACACCAGAGCTTATTTCTCTTTTCTAACAGAAACTTTGTACCCGTTAGCCAATGTCTCACCTTTCCTTGTCCACCTCTCTGCCTCCAGCCACTGGTAACCACCATTCTACTTTCTATTTTTACAAGTTTGTCCCTTTTAAAACTTCACATATAAGTGAGATTATATGGTGTTTGTCTCACTGTGCCTGGCTTATTTCACTTACCATAATGCCCTCTAGTTTCATCCATACTGTTGCAAATGACAGAATTTCCTCTTTTTATGAGACTGAATAGTATTCCAGTGTGTGTGTGTGTGTGTGTGTGTGTGTGTGCACTATACATAATACACACACACACACACATATATGTATATATAAAATTTTAAAAATCCATTCATCTGTTGATGGACACTTTATGACTATTAGAATAGTGATGCAATAAACATGGGAGTGTAGACATCTCTTCAACATACTGATTTAATTTCTGTGGGATTGGGGAATTGACTTTTGATATCCAAACTTAGTATACAGTACCTCAAAAGCCATAATGCCAATTATTTTGTGTTATAAAGTTGTTTGGCTATCAATCCATATTTTTGCATGAGATAGTTATCTTGCAGGTAGGCCCATTGAGAAGACCAGCAGGCGGTCTTGACTGATTCTTGTTGAAATTGAAATTAGAGTAAAGGGACATCCAAACACTTATCCAATTGACTACAATGACATGCAACTAACTGAAATCTTTCTTTTTCTAATTTTTCTTCCCAAATAAAACAACAGCAGCAACAGCAACAAAAACAACAAAACCTTATTTGTTTCTTACAGTTTTCTGATGTGTTTCAGTGTCTACAGTCACTGCTGAGTTTGCATCTGTTGCATGTTGTATCTTACTGGTAACATATGGAAGAAACTTCTTATTCATATAAATATGCTGGTTCTAAAACAACGTGGAATCACGTACAACTCAGCACTATTGGTAGCAATAAAGAGAAACCTACCTCAAAGGAGTGTAAGCAAAAAAGAAATTGAATTAGATTATGTAATTTAGACAAGTCCAAAGCCTGGAAATGGTTTAAGAAAAATTTGTACTGAAAATTTTTCTTACATAAAACAGGTCAAACAAATTTGGTAAACCTAATTTTTTTTTAATAGTGCAAGTAGTAAACTGCTGTCATTCCAAGAAAGTATTATTTGTAGATAGTAAAACTGTATGAAGACTTAAAAAATACCCTATAACAGTTAAAGGCAGAGCAAATTACTTAAATAAAATTACGACATTAGTTCCAAATAGTAACAGTACAATTTGTATCTGTTTTCTAGAAAATATCTGCAATTAAAAAAAAAAAAAGCTGATGCATTAACTCAAATTAATCAGTATTTTCTTTGTACACTCAGATTGCAACTTAAGTATTAGGCTGTTGAGTTTGGTTTAGTGGATATTTATTCAGGATTTTTTACAAAAACAAGGAAACAGAGAAGAGGAACGGTGTTGTGCAAATGACCTCTGGGTTCAGGCGAGACTCAAATGCCTGCTTTTCCTCTGAGGTTATTACCATCTCTTACTTGTTTGACGTTTAGATATATTGCAGGAGATAGTTGAAAAGCAGAAGTTGACTGCATTTCCAGTGGTGTTTTGCTCTGCTGGTATTTGTTCCTCGGTGCCGCTGTGCAAAGGGCCAGAGCTGCATCAGATGGATCTTTTCTTCAGGTTGTGCAGGCTGGCTGCCGTGATGTAGTTGCTGATGTTGGCTGCTGACGATCCTTATTCTTTACATTTGCATGGTCCTCATTTAACCGGAAAACACAGTAGCTGTAGCTGCACATAGACTTTTCCTCTTTCTGTTTCCCCCTCATACCCCTCCCTAGACCTCTCTGGGCTTTGACGTCATGTGTGCTCCTTTCAGTTGCCATAGCAACCCCATTCCCCAAGCCCTCTCTGTCCGTCTCCTCTGGTAGGTTCCACAATGGTACAGGCAGCATCACGCTGCACAATGGTTTCTAGGCAGTGAAAGAGGGTGATTCAGCAAGCCACTCTTCTTCTTTTCTCTTTAACCTCCCTTCACTTTTTATTTTTATGGGGGTGGGTGGTGCTTGCTATATGCTTACCTTTTTCTTTTCTTTTTTCATTTTTACAAATTTCCTTTTTTGTCCTCACCCCTCAATTTCTAGGGGCTTGAGTGAGTTTAAGATTGGGTTTTCTTGGAAATCACCTGTCCATCGTTAATTTTAAACAATTTCCCTATCGCCAAAGAATCTCTTCCTTATTAGTCTGGAATGTGGTTAATGAAAAACAAGTAGGGAGGATTTCTGGGGCAAACACTGCTGGATCAGGATCGTAGTTCTCAGGCACGGAATGGTAGGTGGCTCTTTGCTCGTTCTGGGTTCTAACCTGTTTTTGGAGGGTGGGGTGATGTCTATGGGTTGCTCCTGGTGGGGCGGGAGAGGGAGTTTGGAAGAGACGCTAGAAATGGGGTGGAAAGCAGGTTAATCAAGTGAACTAGCTTTGAGGCAAGAAGCCACCAGCTTTACCCTCTGTGCAGAACATCTCTTACCAGACTTGGGCGTGTTGAAACCTTTCTGTTTGGAGTGAGGGGTAGCAGAGGGAGGGAGGGAGCATTCTTATTGTGAACAGGGGTTTTTAGACCAATGCAGAGCTACAAAAGGAAATGGAAACAGAGAGAGAGAGAGAGAGAGAGAGAGAGAGAGAGAGAGAGAGAGAGAGAGAGAGAGAAAGAGAGAGAGAGACAGACTACATAGAGAGGGAGAGGGAGAGAGAAGCAAAAAAAAGCTGTGCTTGTTAGAACTGCTGACCTTAGTTCCATATCTGAAAAATACAATGGGTTCTATAAAACATTTAAAATAATGTCTTTTAGTTTAAATTTATGTTTACTTCCTGAGAAGTATAACTTAAATATTTAAGATGTATTTTACTAAGGAGCAGTATTTATATATATTAGGTGTAAGACTAATGGCATTACTCTTGCAGAACAACTCTAGGCTAAATCTGAGCTGGAGAGAGGAACACAGAACAGGGGTCAGGTTAGAGATAAGAGGAAGCATTGGCACTGCAGTCAAATAGGTAAGGGGTCCCTTTAAGAAAGTGATCTAGTCACAGCAGGCAGCATTTTTTTTTTTTTTCATGGCAAGGTTCCCAGGTATTCTGTGCTGGGATACTGTGTCCCCTACAAATGTCAGAGCTCTTTTGAAAAAAAAAAATCAATGATAAGTATGGTAATATATTTATTAGAATCTATGTGTTTATGCCTTCAACAAAATAATGTAATTTACTGGAAAATCTATAAGTAAATCAGATTATAGATATTACAAGAAAATTATCCATCTATATATTTTTCTCACCCTCCTCCCACATTTAAATCTAGAGACCTAGTCTCTGCTTTTACCCCCTTAAACAGATAACTTCCCAGGATACTGCAATTTAGCCACAGAAAAAGAATGGCTTATCCCAGAGCAGCAGGCTCTGAAGCAATCACAAGGTTGTTTACATGGGCTGCCTTTGGTGCAGAGCCTGACAGTGTCTATACAGCAGCCCTGCCTGCTTCTGGTATGTTGACGATAACTTTTATGAACAAACTGCAAGGAAGCAGGCTAAGTCATATGGGACAGGCCACAGTTCAGGTGGAAAGAAAATGAGTGGAAGCGCACCAGGCATTGCCAGTACAACATCCAATATCTCCCTGTATCCCTAATCTGCTCGTTGTCGGACCCTGGAAGATCCCACAGAATGCTTATCAACATATTTAAAATGGTTGCAGTAAGGACCATTTCTCTCAGAGAAGCTTCTGTGAATTTTCTACTTTAGGTCAGTATAGATGTTATAAATGTATAACAAATAAATATATAAGTGTAACACAAGCTTCCGACTTCACTTCAGAACCATTGGATGGTTTAGGGGTTGGATGCTTTGGATGTAGCAGCTTGGCTGCCTCTGGTATGTATTCCCTTCTCTTCCTTGATCACACTCTTAAAATTGACATAAAGTATTGGGTTAGGTTATTTTATTATGTGGACCAACTGGGGTTTCTCTCCCCTGCAATGGGACTAGAAAATCAGATGACAAAGGTGGTGTGACCTTAAATATTAGAGTCTTCATGCTTTCTCATTTGCATGTCATTCCTCTGCTGTTGCAAAGCGACTTTAATTTGAGGGGCTCCTTTTCTTAAAAAATCCTCACAGTTTCAGTAAAAAGATTCTGGATAATGAGGCAGTAAGAAATTATATGTAGAGTGGAAAAATCAGCTGCCTCCAGCTTCCTGCCTGCTCGCCCCAGAACAGCATCTGCTGTTGAGAGGAGTGTGTTTGCCATGCTGGAAGGGGATGTTTATGAACAGATCCCAGAGGGACTGAGTGTGTTTTTGCTGTCATTGTCTGGTACGTCTGCAGCTATTAGTATTTAATGGTTTCATAGTACATGGTCTATATATTTTAAGGTTAGAATGAACTGAGAATTTATTGTCAATGCTATAAAATGTAAGTATTTTAAATTTATAGAAAAATTAATAAGATTTTCCTTGTTAGTATATCATACAGGAATATCATAAGCAAAACAAATTTGCCCAACCTAAGTAATCTGAGAAAACCTCCCATGTTTAAAGGCATAAACAAGGTTTTATTGTGGTTTCATGTAAATCAGTCTCTTTCTTTGGGTGAAGCCTAGTTATAAATTCTTCTTATGCTGAGACTAAAAGCTAAAAACAAATTGGGTGTTTACTTGTTTGTTAAATATGGGAATAGATATTCTCCCTTCATGCTCCAGTTCCGGCCTCAGGTCACATTTGTAGCTAAAGGACTTTCAGTGGAATTGGTGTGTTCAAATCGAATGATTGCTTGGCCGCTTATCAGAATAATGGACTCAAAACAAGAGAGACTTCCTTCAATTAGAATAAAAAGCAAACACATTGTTATCTTCAATTCTTTCTTCATTGCCCTTTCTATTTCCTCTTACAGTCTCTTTTAAGCTTTTGGTTGGACATTGCAACAATCATACAAAAAGAGGCACGGAAGTGTCCAGTAGTGACAAGAATGGAGTACAGTGCTCTGTTTGCTGCAGGACTGCTGAGTGCCTCCCTCTTACCACACATGCATCTATTATTGCATCTTCTTCTGAGGACCAAGGACTTGTGGAAAAAGTTGGGCCTGGAGACTAGTAGGGGAGATGCTTACTGGTAAAGAAGAACAGGGTCCATTTGCTTCTTTGGCATATTGGATTTTTTGCATTACATAAGTCTGAGATGAGACACTGTATTGCTGATTCAGATAAAAAGATCATGCTGCATATTGATTGTTTTAAAAAATGTAACTTAGAATTGGAGCCCATCTTTTCAGAAATTCACCTAGCTGTACATGTTTGCATAGTGATGTTGTAAGGTTTTGACTAAAGATTATTCAGTTTGAGTACATTTTATCCTCATGAGCCAATCAAGGTAAAGAAGGGGAAAATACGAGAGCTGTTTTGCATACCTTTTGTTTTCTGTATTTAATAGGGAGAAGCTTTATTTCTTATTGTGAATCTTGGTAGAAACTGTTAAGAGAAGACGTCAGGTAATATTGAAAGTCACTAAATAGAAACATTTTAGTTTTAAAATGTAGACCTCAAACTATACTATATTTGGTAAATAATTTTCTAGTTTATTTGATGTTTTGGATCCATAACAAGCCACTATGGCTTTTCTCACAGTTATTGTCTCTGGTGACTATGAGATGTAAAACCCCTAAGGCTTATGGAAATAATGCTTGTAGGAATGGAAATCGAAGTTTCCAATGGAAAAAGGAACGACTAAAGTCTCCTGAGAAGCATTCCTATCCACAGCTGCTCTAAACCCCTGAGTGGTGTGTAGGTTTAAGGCAAAGCTCCCCTATAGGGCAATCGGGCATATGCAGTGACCTGCTCAGTAATAAACAGGAGTTTCACTACCTTGTGTGTGTGTGTGTGTGTGTGTGTGTGTGTGCGTGTGTGCGTGTGTATGAAGAAAAACAAAAACAAAAACAGCAGTGACTTTAAAGTTCTAGAAATTCATCTTAGTGACTTGTCTTCATAGAGATAAAACTGACTCCTGTTTGTCTATGTTAACCTGCCCGGGTGTCCTGTGCGTTTTCTGAAAATGGATTGCTTAAAGCAATTGTCCTCTTCTTATAGATTGGAAATGGGATCTGAAAGCATTGATAGTGAAGTGAAGCTCTTAGGTTAGGTCTGTTTATATGTTTATTCAGTGTTTGTAGGTGGAAGCTCCATCACAGCACTTATATAATATAGTAATTGCCTATTCTTGTATTACCTGTATTCTCTACTAAGTTATAATCCCCATCAGGGACTGACTTTGTCTGTTTGGCACACAATAGGGACACACCAAATATTCATTAAATGAATATCTCTCATGTACTGAATTCTCTGCTAAGTGCTACGGTAGAAAAAATTGGGAAGCTGTAACACAAAGTTTCTGCCAATTGGAATCTATACTCATTTGGGGAGGTGAGGCTAAATATCAATAAAGATGGTATAAAATCAAGGGCCCATATTAGTGTTTTGATAATAAGTGCAATAGAAATTCAGAGGTGAAAGGAATCCACCTGGTCTGAAGTGGTGGTAGGTAGCAGTTAGTCCACACTAGGGTATCGGGGTGAGGTGGTGGGTGATGAGAGAGCAGTAGTTCTAGAAGTAATTGTAAGCACCTGGCCAGGAAAGAGACTCTTAGTGTGGCAAAGAGGAGGCCTATTTTGGGTATGATGACCATATTTTCCAAACTAGAAATAAAAACTTATGGTTTGACAATGGGTAGCATGTTAAAAACTACCACAGAGTCTGAAGAATAGTGTCTAATATAATGGTGGGAAGAACAGGCGATAATTGTGAAAAAGTAGGTTTGTAACTAGATCAGATGATGGAAGAACATAAATACAGGTCTTTTCAGAGCAACTCCAGTTTAGGTTTACTTTCTTTTGCATACTTCAGAGGTTTTCAAAATGATCCTCCTTTATTTATACCTATGTAACCATTATTCCAATTAAATCTTATATGAAAATCAGAATATGTAAATGTATGTAACAGTGGAGCTCTCCCAGTTGAAGATGAGTGGGATGCCTTGTATTAGAAAACCAAATTCATATCACAAGACCAATTATATCAACTGAAATCAAAATTACTTATTTGGTTTATGCTCAGATATTAAAATATCTAGTTGTTCTGGTATTGATAACATCAAAGTTCTTGTGCTTGCAATAAATTATGAATAGAGATAACTACCTTGAGATGTTTCCTTTCCTCTGCCTGCACTCACCCACCCAATAACCAATTGTCTTTGATGTCAGCTTTTTGGTTTTCTAAATACAGGTGAAGTTCCCATTTAAATCTTAAAATCAAACTCATCTGTTTTTCGGCTTTGCTTTCAGGCTAGTGTGAGAAACACCAATGACAGACCCATCTCAGATTTTCACTATGGCAACTCATGCAAGAAACTGTTGAATTAGACCTGTTTCCTATAGATGAGAAACCATACAAGCTGTGGTGAGTTGCAAATTTAAAAATATTCCTTAGCATGAAAACCGTGATCTACATAACCAATTTAAATATCGCAGATGGTTTGGTATATGGATCTGGAGAAATACTGCTCCAAATAATGTCAACTACAGAAGTGAAAATCAATAGAACAGAATGTTTAATGGTGTGGTACTACTAATACCGCATACAATAGTGAAAAGTCTTGAAGTGCATGGGTGCAGCAGATAATACCATGATACTACCACCATGGATGATACCTGCAATTAACATTTTCAGGTGGCAGAGTAACAGTTGGGTACCATTATTTTTAAGTAACTTTTATTATTTGCAACATTGTAGTATATTGTACTGATTCATCTTTAGTAGAAAAATTGGTTCTGAGCTAAATTATGGTTTTCAATTTCTTTTAGGAGCACACACACACACACACACACACACACACACACACACACACCATTTAGCTTTTCTGAAATAAGAGTAGAGAAATCACAGTTTTATAAAACTCAATTCATGGGCATTTTAGCCTACAAATCCTTTTGCTTAACAAAACAATGTTAAACATAGATCCAGTTGCTCTGCCTTGTTGGAATAACTTTAAAAATTTATTATTTTATAAAAATATCAGCACACATGGATAGAATATCTTTTTAAATCAAATACTTGATGCTTCATAGTCACTAAAGTCAATAGTCAATAGATTCCAGCAGAGATGAATGAGTTATAATCTGTCAAGTAACATATTTGAGAACTAGAGTTTGATTGTGGTGCTTATCAGACTCCAAAACAAGCTGTTTTGAGCTAGTGATCAATATCTTTCTTTCATTTGCCTAGTGGCTTATATAATTCTAGATAGGTAGGCTGCCCTGTGAATTAATGTATAGCTATAACTGCAGAAGACTGTTGAAATTAATCCTAGAGTTACTTCATATAGTGATTTTATAAAACAATTCATAAAAAACAACCTGTCTCCCATTATGTTGAGAAAACAGATCTGATAGCCATCACTATACTGTGCTTAATCAAAATGTATTTAATGAGTGTTACAAAGAATCACATATAATTGCCAATAACAAACGATTTTTGATCTAAAATAAGGACAGTTTTATATGGTTGAACCTAATATGTTATATGTTACTACCAATGATGTAGACAGCATGTTATGCTCTCTCCATTCTGAATATTACTTCACTAATCAAACTCTTATTGAGAATCTGTGATATAGGTAGCATGTTTAGCTTTGGGGTAGATAAAAGGCAGTCCCTGCTTTAAAGGAGACCTCAGTCTAAAGAGTGTAGTGCTTATAATAAAATGTTCTTATTAATGGGGCAGTTGGGTTCCAGAGTGTGGCATTTATAAAGTGCTATTACGTGAGTAGGTATAGAGTGCCAAAGGAAGTGCGTCGGAGGAGACTAACGCAGATGTGGTAGAGATTAGTCAAGGAAGGGTTCCCAGAGGAAGGGATCTTTTAGTGAACTATTAAGCACAGTAAGAGAATAGCCAGGGGAAGGGAGGATGCAGTGCATAGTGGGAACATTTTTTAACAGACCCGGAAGCCTGAGAGAGCATGATTGTGTGGGGATACCAGGTATCGTTTACTATGCTGGAACAGAAATTGTAGTGGCAGAGATAAAGTTAAGGAGGAATACAAGACATGTGCCATGAAGGGTTTCTTAGATAAAATTAAGGAGTTTGGAATTTGTTTCAAAGTGAAGAGCTTTTGAAAGATTTTAAGTAGGAGATCAACATAATCAGTTTATTTTTTATACCATACGCATAGAAGAGTGTATAAAACAGAGGTTAAAGAATAATTGTAAACCAAACATCACATAAACAAATCAAACAACATAAAACAAATCAAACAAATAAATCAAACATTACATAATACACTCCTGGCAAGCCCTTATGTGTCCCTTTCAGATCACATACTTTTCCTTCCTCACTTCTAACTACTATCCTACCTTTTGTCATGCACATTACCTTGCTTTTCTTTGTAGGTTTTCTAATTATGTGTGCATCTCTGTACTATAAATCTTAGTTCTGACAATGCTTCAGCTCATGTATTTAGAATTATAGCATATATACTCCCAGTCACCTGATTATTTTGCTAACATTGTGAGATTCTTCCATGTTAATGCATAGAGTTATTCATGTAAATTGTTGTATAGTATTCTACTATATTACTATGCCAAAATGTACTTATCTAGTCTACTGTTGTTGAACATTTGGATTAAATCTATTTTATTTAATGCTAGCATAAATATAAATTTAATATAATTTTTATGTTTATATATTAGTTATCATAGATTCTGATATTTACCCTTCTCTAGGATAAATATCAAGGGAAGGAACTGCTGAGTTTTTGGGTATGTGCGCCTTTAATTTTACTAAATAATTCCAAAATATTTTCCCCAATCAGTTGCATCAATTTACATTCCCAGCATCAGTATGTGAAAAACTCTACATTCTCAACAACACTTGATTTACAAGTTCCTAAATTTTGCTAATCAGGTAGATACATAATTGTACTCATAGAAGTATTAATTTGCATTTTGCTGATTACTAATGAAGAAGAGCATCTTTCCTTTTTTTTTTTTTTTTTTTTGGTAATTTGGTTTTCCTCTTTTGTGAAGTGCCTGCTCAAATTTTTTTGAGATGTGTCTTTCAAAATAATAACTAACACTTATTGAGTTCTCACTGTGTAATAGGCACTATAGTAAGTACTTTATGAACAGCTCATCTTCCTATTATCCCTATAATTTACAGGTAAGCAAACCAAGGTTTAGAGAAGTTAAATCACTTACTGACAATCACACAGTTAAGAAACAGTGGAGTTAGCATTCAAGCCCAAGTCTTTCTGATTCCGGAGTTCTTCAGTTTCTCAGAGAATGTTTGGAAGGGGATTTGATTAGAACCAGGGAGAATATTTAAGGTGCTATTGCAGGAATCTGCTTAAAAAATAAGTGCATAAACCAAAGAATTGCCAGTAGGGTATATGTAACAAGCAACCGAAATTGGTAATGAATGTGGTGGGCAAAGGCGGGATTTAAAACATCTCAAGTTTTAATACCTATCAGCTAGGTAGACTCAATATTAGTCATACAATGTGTATGTGCACACACACACACACATTGTATGTGTATACACACATTGTATGACTAATAATGTCATCTATTGTACATGTATTATACAATACATTGTCATATATTGTGTGTGTGTGTATATGTGTACATATATAGAGTACAGGTATTGTTGTAGGTACCAAGAATTCATTTTACAAAGTCCAGGCATTGTAGTACTTACTAGAATGCATCTTATAACTCTACAATTCAATGAGATGAATTTAGTTCACAGGCTCATACATTTTAGGCTTTAAAGCAACGACATTGTTCATTTGGGTCAAACCTTTACTTTTTTTTTTTTTTTTAAAGATATGAAAGCCGCTGCTAAAATAAGGTAAGTGGCTTGTTTGTTCAAGATCACATGTTACTAGGTGTCAGGTTAAGAATAGATATCAGGCCTGCAAAAAAATGCAAAGAAATAACAACCACCTGATTTTTAAATTAACAAGTGATGACACAATCAACCTATCCTATTTCCTAAACATTTCTCAGATCAACCTTTTTTCATCTAAATCTGTTGTTACTGCCATAATTTAAGTCCTACTCCTCATCTTTAGCAGGTTTATTTAAATAGCCTAGTATACTATCTTCTTGTCCATGATTCTACCAGTGAATCCACCAGACTTGTTATTTGATTTGCAGTTGTTACTGTATAATTTCCCTATTTAATTTTTGATATACTCTGTCATCCATGTAATAACTTCCCTTTTCCTTAAGACATGCTATACTCCTGCAGGGCAGGTGGCTCACGCTTTTGTAATCCCAGCACTTTGGGAGGCCAAGGCTGGTGGAACACCTGAAGTCAGGAGTTTGAGACCAGCCTGACCAACACGGTGAAACCCCATCTCTACTAAAAATACAAAACTTAGCTGGACATGGAGGTAGGCACCTATAATCCTAGCTACTTGGGAGGCTGAGGCAGGAGGATCCCTTGAACCTGGGAGGTGGAGGTTGCAGTAAGCCAAGATTGCACCACTGCACTCCAGCCTGTGTGACAAAGTGAGATATGTCATACTCCTGTTCACCCCCATTTTAGACACTCATGACCTTTTAAATTGCTTGGAAACACCAGTGTGCTTCAATTTCATCACACATACTCAAGTATTTCCTACCTCTGTGATTTACTTCATGCTGTTTATTCTGCCTGTTTTCGCTCTGCAAAGCCCTTACTTACTCCTTTCCATCCTTTAAGACATTTGCAACTCTAAGATGGTCTGGGGGCTAGCAGCATGGACATCTCCTGGAGACTGATAGAATGCAGCATCTCGGGTCCTACTACTCAGACACAGTGATTAAGAAACTGCATTTTCACCAGATTCCTAGGGGATTTTAATACATGTTAAAGTTTGAGAGTACTATTTAGAACCACTTTAGATTTCATAAGATTCTATCTCCTCCTGGAAACCTTTGAGATCCCTTCCATCCAGCATTGAGTCATTCTTGGTGCTCTCACCATAACCTGTGCATTATCCACCTCACTGTACTACCACAGTATCTTGTTATCTGTTTATTATCTGTTTGTGTCTTCTTTGCCTCCCACCTTAGCCAGGGGGTATTTTGAGCCAGATTCATCTTTGAATTTCTTATACATAATTCAGTGCCTAACACTTGATAGGTACTGCATAAATATGTATTGAATGATTGACAAAAGAGAGAAGAATGAGAAAGAGGTAGATAATACAGAAACAGAAGCAGGACAAAGACAGACACATGAAGAAAATAACACACAGTGAAAGAGACTTCCATAGAGATAAAACGACATAAAGGCACCGCAAATTCTGTCTCTGGATACAATCTGGAAAGCAGCCTGGCAGAGAGTCCACAATCTTAAGGTTAGATGATAGCCTTTGTGGTTTGTCTCAGAAGAAAAATTTTACTTAATTTCTC